GTGCTGTAAATTCCTACTTTAAACCTTAAATATTTGATTTTAAAGTAAAAAAAGGCAAACATCTACAGTCATGTAAATGAGGCAACTAAACTACGATTTTTACCACAGTGCTTGAGGTCTGCTTGAAATACACCTTAAGAACAATTTTTGTGCAATTTTTCTAGTTTATTTTATTTCTTCTGTATCTGAATATGGTGATAAAGGATGTTATATACAAAGGTAACTCCAAAGCATAGAGTTAATTGAAATGGTGTGATAATGTGAATGTTAAGGAGTAAAATGTATTGATGGTTTCCTTCCATATGACACATTTCTACCCACGTGTGAGGTTGCTTAATGTATGTTGTTATTCTGATGAAATTAATGCATGATTACAGATGTTTTTAAAAATATGTTATTTTTTAGATCTGAGGAAATATACTATAAGGCCACTTACTGATGAGTATTTTATTCACATGTGTAGCTATATTTAAGAAATGCTTATCAGTTTAGCTACTAAAAAGGACTTGTGTACTTTTAAAAGCAAGTGCCCTATTACTTGAGGGAAGTTGGAAACACATTAATTTTTAAGACACTTCTCTGACAAATTTACCTGATTTAATAATGTGCTAAATACTCCATGTTTTCCACATAGTTTATTTACTACGATATTTAATCTTGATTTTCAACTGTCTCATGTATTCTTTCTGCCAGTTGTATTCATTTTAATTCTATTAACATTTGCATAATCTTTTGAAAGAAGAACACAAATGAACATTGATGGTTAATGGCAAATATTTCTGTTTGAACACAGTTGCATTTCCACCTAAATATTCAGAGAAAATACCATATTACTACACAAATAAGGGAAAATGTTGGAATTTCAGAAAGTAAATAAAGAAACATGACCAATGTTTATGCTTCAAATATCTTAATTTGCTTTCCAGTATGCGGTAAATATGAATCTGTATGTGACTGCCACGCCATACTTTCATACCTTGAAGAAGGCCTGGAAATGGAAGCTCTTAAAACAAATCTTACAACTGTAACATTGGTCGGTTGCACTGTTGAAAGGGAAGACATACATAGTAGTAAACATGACATTACAAATAATGCAGCAATGCATAGCTATAAAGCAATTATGTTAAGATACTTCGATATTTTGGTTTATTGTTCTTGAGCTATTTTAAGGATTTTTTTTTTGAATCAGAAGGTCATGGCAACTGACCAGAGGACAGAGGCAAAGTACATTCTGGGTTTGGTGTTTCATTACATCGCATTTCTGGACAATATCCAGCGCTTCTTTTGTGTGTGTGCTTCAGATTGACACAGCTGTCAGGAGAAGGGACCTTTTTTCCTCACCAGTGATACTGTTTCTTTTCTTATTTTGGCTGGAAAAGTTGCAATAATTTCAGTTGGCTGTTGAAGATCACTATCTAAAATAAATTCTGTTCGGAACTAGTCTGAGGCTAGAATAGCGAGTTGTTCAAAGCCAAAGTTTTCTTCCAAGGTTCAGATTTTTTTAATGTGAAGCAGCAATTTCTCCAGCCCCTGTACTGTTGCCTTTTTTCTTGCTGAATACTTATGGAGCACAGCAGAAGTCTTTGACTGTGGTGCATCATGAACACTCTGAATCCTTAAGCAAGCCTGTAACAGAGGGGACCAAGATCTAACATGACCTTTAAATATAGGAATTATCGTATAATTTATGAAGTAGGTGTTTTTTTTGTTTGTTTGGTTTTTTAGCTAAAAGCTAAAACTTTTTTTTCAGTGGGATATTTTAAACAACCTAAGTTTCTCAGAAAACTGTGAGTGTCAGTGTCTCTTGCTTAAAGCATGTGGTGACTGTGTCTGGAATACACGTGGGCACACCCATGTGTACTGTTTATAAGGCAGCATACGTTCTTCTATATTTTGAAGTCTGAAACCTGTACTTATTAATTTTTATTGCTTGAATCAAAGCAAAAGGAATGATGTTGAGTAATTAAAAAAAAAAAAAAGCCTTCTAACAGCTGTACTTTGCAGCTCTGTATTAGTGCCACACTCCTGGTGCTAGTAATCAGATTATTTTCCTTGAAGTGAATGCCATTGCTAGATACTGAAAATTATAGTGGAAGTGTTAGAATATAATTCCTTTTTTATATACTGCATGGAATGTAAGTTACTGAAGAGGAGAGAAGCAGCTGTACTTGTATTCCCAAACTTCTACAGATTTGGAGGTGAGGAGGTATACAAAAGATCTTAAAAGGCAGAAGAGACCATTGTGGTCATTTACTGCTGTCTGTTGCAGCCCAGAAAAAAAAATTTCTAATTCTTTTGCTTGAATGCACCTCTCCTTGGGTAGCTATGGAGAGTCTGGCAACTTGCTGAAACTACTCCCTCAGTGCAGCTACACTTAAGCACACTGAAGGTCAGTAGAAGTTTACAGGAAGGAATGATAATATATAGTGTTGTGTCAGAAACAGCACAGAAAATGGAAGACTGTTGTAGCTGGGATTTCTTTTGTCTCCACTCATTGTCAGCTGCAGATGAGCAGTGTTAAGGTAATAGCTCCATCTGCACACAGGCTTCCTTGCTCCCATGAAGTTCCAGAACTCTTACTTGCCCTGTGAGGAGCTTCTTGTAGTAGTGCTAAAATTGTTCTAAAATTCCTTCTTGATCCTTCCAGCATGTTCATTTCTCTATTTTCATCTGAAAGAGTGCAGTTCTAATATTTAAAATTAGTCAAAGTTCAACCATTTATGTATAATTTTTTTTAAGGTGTGGGTCTGGCTTGCCCTTTAAAATACCACCTGTTCCATAGTTCCTGGGGCTCTTAAGTAGAATCAGGCAGTAGGATCAGTAGCATTCAGAGGACACAGCCATTCTGATTTGATGTTTTGAGACAATTCTGATTGACTTTAAGCCCTGGAAGCAGAAAAGTTCTCTAGAAGATTTGGTTTTATCCTCAAGGTAATTTAGTGTTTTCCAGTTTAAAATTACTTACATGAATAATATGTTTTGAACAGACAGTACCTATATGTGCACAATTGCCATCTACATGTGCACCAAAATCTGTCACTAAATATTCTCCCATATCACCTTGCATCCAAAATAATTGTGTGTGTGTGTTAGTTAGCAGCAAATGGAGAATTGTTTCTGTAACTTAGTGGGTGTGCAAAGAAATATTTCCAGCTTGTGCACTGAGATGTCATAGAATCCACATGAATAGACATGTATTTGTAATATGTCTGTATGATTTGGGTTTAGTATTATTGATCAGTATTTCTTGAGTTGGATAGCTATACAGTAAAAGAACTTAAAATCTGTAAAGGAACACACCTGGACTTCAGTGCTGGGTCATGAATGTTGGAGAAATGTCCAGAAGTTTACTACGTGTGCGTGCATCTTGTACTCAGTAAACTTGTATTAATTATCCAGTCCCTTCCAGGTATTTGAATGTGTGTTATAGAACAGTAGTAACAGTTTCCATACAGTGAATATCACAGGATATTGAGCAAGAGATCCCCTTCTTATACCTGGGTGATGCAAAATTAGTTGGTAATGTGGCTAAAATTTAGAAGACAGTCTAAATATATGAATGGGTTTTTTAGTGCATTGTTCATGTTTCAGGGAAACTGACATGAACATATGAGCAAAATTCATGGTTTAGACACAATCTTGACTTGGGGCTCAGGTGTTGTTGCTTCTATTTTTTTAGTGTATAGTTAACATTAGCAGTCACCCTTATAATGATACGACATGTACTGCTTCCAAGTATGGTGCCTGCCTACTCCTGCCATTAAGGAGAGCTGATTTAATCAGTAATGTGTTCTAGCTTCTGTGACATCCTTTGGACTGAAGAAGGGAGTCAAATACAGTCCTTTTTTTCCCATTCTAGCAAAAACTATTTTAGAAATATTTGACAGAACTTCTTTGGTTGTTATTATCACACCAGAATTTGGGTCAAGTTTCTAAGTTACTTTATGTAGAAAATGAATATTTTAAAGCTATTAAGGGAATACTTCCAGTGTGTAGTTATAGTACTGTCAACAAAAGATGTGATTAAATAAATTGAATGTTGAAGACTTTCGGCTTACGGTTAACACCAGGTAATTAAAAGTAAGCGCTGCTGTGGGAATGCATTATATATCAGCTGTACTCTTTACCTCATTAGCTGGGTTTTTGCATGTTTATGGAGCTAACTTGCAATTAAAAATGCCTTTAACGTATGCTTAACAAGGCCTTTTAGGTATTTGGAATAAAGTACTACAATTTAATTGAAATTGGTATAGCATAAATAGATGTCTTAGTAACATGTGATATAAATCTCCATGCCTAACTTGTCACTTTGCATCTTTTCCTCTTGTGTAATCTTTAATGCTGACTATAAGGCATGATGTTTAACTTGTATACAAGATGGAGATTCTCTCTTTAACTCCAAAGAATGTTTTGATTTAGTATATAAGTAAAACTTGATTGACAAGATATACTCAAATTCATGCCTTAGTCATATTTTTAAGATGTGTGAATGTTTGTATGTGCATATGGGTATCTGTTAGGATGTTTTTAGCTATAGTATATCCTTCTTCAATTAGTCTTTTGTTCTGCATTAGAATACAAGAAGTAGTATACTGTCAAGGCAACGTTGAGTGTTGATAATTTATCTTAATGTTTTCATTTTGAATGCTGTGATAACTGTTGTAAATAGTTGCCTGAAGTTTAAAACCAAATCTTGGTGAAACTAAGGTGAAAAGTAAAACCTACTTGCAGGTCACTTATCTTGCTGATCTTCTAACTGTGTGCTTGTTTGTCATGGCTTTTGTGGAAGTGGATGATATATTAAAGTGTACCATAAAAACTAAACAAGGACAAAGTGTCCTTTTGGTTAGGGTAGATTGCCAGAGATGATGGAAAAAGAAAATAGGGAAGGAACGGTACTTTTGCAGGACATAGAAGTGTATATGCTAGATGGGTAAACAAGGATCATGATGTGTGAACCTTCATACAATGTTATTTACTAACTTTTTGTCTTCATCTAGGAGTGTTGTTGTACCACCAAAGAAATCAACCATTTCCACTTCTACAGCTGCTATGGGTATTCCTGCAAATGCTGTCAGTGTGGTTTCTTCTTTAGATTCAGCGCAAGCCCCAGATTTGTCAGGAGAATCTCCTGGTGAGTAAGGGTAGATAAAACAACTTGAATCCCAACCCTTCCTCTGTTGCTTCTCCCTCCCTTGCTATTCACTCTGAATGCAAATGAACAAGTTTTTGTTACGTGTTTTTTGTTACGTGTTATATGAAAGTGAGATGTTTTTCAATAGTTATCTGTATCTCAAAACTCTGTAAGTGATAACAGTTGTCTTTCAGACATTAAGTCACTAGTTGCCTTCTGTTGTAACACTGGTTAGTGTGTATGTATATATTATGTGTCTATATATGAGTCTTTCTTATACTAAGAATATTGATACTTATGGCTGGTTGTGTTTTCTTAGGGGAAGGTGTGCCAATAATCTGGGGAGATGGTGTTTTACACTTTTTTTTTTTTCCCCCTAAACTACTGGAGTGTATGTGGTGTAACATGTCCTAAATTATCAAGACAAACAAAAGGATATTTGAGACCTTTGTATCCTGCATACTACTTTGTCTATATCTTTGTCATGTCCCCTCACATAGCAGCTTGCAGGCGTGCATTCGGTATCTGTGCCTCTAACAAAGACCAGTAGCAGGTACTTTACAGGAAAATAGACATGACTCTAGGTTAAACTGGACCAATTGTCAGTGATATTATATGGATTCAAGAACATAAGAATTAATCTTTTTTGATATTTGCTGAGTTTATCCCCCAGATAATTTTATTATTCCTAGTTTTGATGCTGTAGCTACACAAATGTAAAAAATAGCCTGTTTATAATTAAAAAAAAAAAAATACAAAAGTAGTGCTGTATTAAAAAAAAAAAGCTTTCCTAAATTTTTGGGGGGTTCTCCTTTTGCCTTCATCTAGCAGAACGAATGCAAATGTCTGAGCAGTATTTGTCATAATTTCAAGATTTGTCACAGTTTTTGTAAAGCAGGCATGCTATATTAACTTGTATTTAGTATAAATATGGTATATTCTAAAGACTACTTTTTGTTACAGATTTTTTGTTATGTAAAATACAAACTTATTTATAAATTGTAGGGTATTTGTCCAAGGATATATGTGTTAGTGCTAAGTAGGACTGAAAATTATATACAAGTGTTTCCAATAGCTTTAGCCTGAGGTCACATTCAGTGTTGATGCTGAACTAATTGCTTTAGACAGTTTTTTCAGTGGGGACAAAATTGAGTAGGTTGTTTATAAGCAAGTGGTCCTTTGAACCCTTAGTCTCTCTGGTCGTTCTGTATGAGATAAATGATGTTTAACCTTATATGCTGTGTCAAAGGCATGCTTTTGTACTTAGCCATGTTTAAGTCACAAGGCTGTGTAGGATTTCATAATTGTTTGTGCCCATGAAGTTTAACATCAAGACTTAGAACTGATTTGCATCTTAATCAAGGAAATCTCAATCTATGCCTGACTGTTGGTGTTTCTTTTCAATGTTTGAGTTTCTTACTTCCTGTTTTTATGAACTTACATGCAAATCGCAAAGGCTGAGGAGAAAAAAAAAAAAGTAATCCATTGTCACATCCTCTAGTACTCGTGTGTCTGGAAGGTATATGTGGCCATCTTCAACTGCCCATTGCATTTAATGGGAAAAGCAAAAAGGTTTTGTTCCAACCACGATAAAGGAAAGGCTATTGAAATCTAGTATGTTCTTATTCTTTGCAGAAGGGAGAATCCATTTTGTCACTGAAATTGCAGGAGGTAGCATTCTACTAGTCCAGGAATAATGTTTGGACTAGGAAAATTATCTGTCTTTTAAAATGTCACAGTTCTTTGGGGAAGATTGGCTCTGAGCAGCAAATGTGTTTTAAAAATAATAAAACCTTACCTGCACTGAAATTGTTTAAAGTAATTGCTAATTTGTTAATTTCTTATTGGTTTACCCAGGTTAGATGTGGGCTTAATTATTTCAATTTCTGAAGTCAGTATTCACTTGCTTTTAATAGAAACAAAACAGAGAAACGTTGATTTTCAGATTTAGTCAATCTTTTAAGAAAGTATAGAAGAAAAAATAAGTGCTTCTGTGCCTGTAGAATGTGTAAGAAATCCAGACAATAAACAATACTGATGTAGTTTGTAACTGTGTGACTTCCAGCATGTCTGGGAGTTTTGGCAAAAATTGGACATGTAATCTGAACTGATATGCATAAAAAGAAACTAATCAGGATTAAAAATAGTAGACATGTTTAGACTGGCAGCCTAATTAATTAAAAGAAAAAGTGAAGGGATGAATGAAATCATGCCTTAAACAGATTAAAATGTGAGACTGTTTCTTTTTTCCCTAGTAAAATAATGGCATGGAAACAAAAATTTTGCAGAGTTGGAGTGGTTTACACTTATGTTGCTCATGTAAATTGCACACATTTAAGCTTGAAATAAAGTCCTGTATAAGACCTTTAACTTTTGCATTTGAGGTACAAGTAGCAATAAGCGAGCTTCCTGTAAAACCAAACTATATATAATTTTCCTGAGTTCAAATCACATGTTCTTTCACTAATTCTTGTTTTCGTGCAGCAGAGAATCAATACATTGTTCTCATTTTTTTTCAGCTAACATTGATTGTAAGTCTGTTTACTTTTGTAATTAAGAAAAAAAATAATTAAATTGGTTTTGGGGCTTTTTCATATTTTATATGAAGGTTATTTATTAAACATTATTGTCACATTTAAAAATACATTTCAGCTGTTTTTTATAAAGTCAAAGAATTTTTTAAAGTGAGTTTTGTATGCATTTGTTTGATATGTTTTTAAAACTGATTAAGTGAACAGAACCTTAATATAATTATGTATAATGCTTTACTGTGGAGACTTGAGTTGATTTACTCCAAAACAGAGATGAATGGGAGATACAGACATTGAAATGGGATTAACCAGCAAGTGATAGTGTTTTAGTTGTAATGTGTATGTAAGCTTAATTTGGGAACTATATAGTATGTGAGTATCCTCCACCTGTAGATGTGATGTCAAAATTTCTTGGTCAAGGTAGGATCTGTGTTGAAATATTAGTCAGTCTATGTGGTTCCTGATGCCTCCATTGCCATTTGTGAGTGCTCAGAACTCATCAATCTCCTTCCCAATATTTTTTCCTGAAGTTTGCATCGAGGTCTGTAGCTCAAGGTCTGTGAGTATCTCAGATATTTGACCCCTAAGATTGTCCTAAGCTCATATCAAGTGGATGTGACATGTCCTGGCCTACCAAATACAAAGTGTTGACAAGTTGGAAAGATAACCATCTAAGCTCACTCTGTTCCTCTGATACTTTGAAAGAGGGTGAAAACATGTTTGGCCTCAGACAGCCTGGCCTTTTCGCAGAAGTTTCTTCATCTTTACTCATTCAAGCGGCAGAGTATTTCACAGCACAAAAAGCCTTTCCTGAATACAAATGTGCCCCTTGTGGTCTAAACTTGCCTGTCAGTATGTTGGTGATGGCTGATATTTGGGTTGTTGGTCTGCTTGAATTGCTTCTCCAATTGTTGAAAGATCTTGAAAATTAATGGAGAAAATAAAGCCTCTTTGTGGCCCATGTAGGGCCAATCATTTGTCTTTTATGGAGGGCGGTAGTGAGCAAAGAGCATATTTACTAGTAATGACCTAAGGAGGAAGAATTTCTTGAGTTGTTTCTTACTTGGATTGGATGATAGTCTGAATGTGAGATTTGATGCAGAGATTTTACACATGCTGTGTCCAGGAAGGGCTATTGGAAAAGCAGGACTAATGTTTGGATAGGCAGGACTTGGCAGAGTTGTCTGAGCTATTGTGAACATGCTAGTGGGATGCTTGTATTTTTGTTTGTCACTTAGTTTTCCTTTTAAATGTTTCAATTACAGTTGTAATGTTCTGAAGTAATGTGAACTTTTTTGAACTGTTTTGCAGTTTGCACTCCCACTGTTTTCTTTGATGCTCTGAGTTTCTTTGTTTATGTACTTGAAGGATTTCATATGCGTTTTATTAGTGCTTCACTCTAAAGAGTGTAATTTTGAGGCTTTCACTATTCAATTTGCAAATGGTTGTTCAAATGCAGTGTTTATGAAGAGGGAGTAGGAAAAGTCTGTAGGAAGCAGGAGTGAATTGCATCATGTCCTTACTGACACTCTGAGTGTAGAAAATGCTAAGTTCCACTCAGTTTCTGTTGCCTGCCTCCTCCCCGTCTTACTTGGTTCTTTGAGTTTCATTTGTTTTGCCTCTGAGCCACACAGAGTTGCCAGCGGGATTTCTGCTTCTCCTGAGCAGAGACATGGGCTGTTCCCCAAAGTGTGAAGTCATAAACAAGGCCACATCAAAGGCTGAGGTGAAAAAGGAGGTGGATGCTTGGAAGAAACCTGGGAATTAGCAGTAACAAGAGATTAAAAAAGAGTTGTAATTCCTGAATTCTAATCCTACATATAGGAAAATGTAAATTTTCTCCCACAGTTGGCTTGTTTTGCCAAGAAGAATGGTATTCATTGATTTTTATACATAGGTGAAAATAACCTTGAAGTCTTGCAATAAAATAAGTTAGTGGGAGACAAGCTAAAGTAAGAAAAATGAATGTGAAGTGAGTTACCATAAGTGCAGAGGTGGTTCAAGAAATTCACTGGATTATAGTAACTTTTCAGAGAATTCCAACTTTACAGTGACAGTAGTTGAAGGCTATTTACCAAATCAGAATGACACTTTGAAAAATCTCAAATGCTAATGATATGCAATGGAAATGGTTTAATAATGTTTCAGTATAAAAACTGTTTTAAAGCAACTTCTCTTTAGAGAGTGCCCCATTGTTTCATGAAATCTGTTTTGGTTTAACCTGTAGGTGTGTTTATGTAACAAATCCCTTACATTAGCTTGTAAAACCTTTCATTGTAGTCTTGCATTGTACACTTTCAGCCCCAGTAGTGTGGTTTTGAATGAGCCCATTATTTTACTATATATTCCTTTCATAAAGGGCATCAGTGTATATATGTATGGTAGTCTTGTACAAAATTAAGAGGTAGGCTATTTAATTTGACTCTCTGGGTTTTTTTTTTTAACCTCATCTCCATCCTCCCAGAGTAAAGTTTATCATGCACTGCTTGTGTATTGCCAAGTGTACTTTGTAAGTGTATATGCAAAAGCATAAGGATCTTGCACAAGGAGTTTCTTTAACAATATTTTATTGCTAGAGACATTATTTGTTTAGACCCTTGGGGACCTTGAATAAGCAATAAGGTTTCACTGTAAGGGTGCTAGACAGATGATCTATTTGCATTTTCTTTTATGTTCTTGCAAATGTCTGTAAAACTGTCAGTTTGAAGGAGCCAGTTTATCAGTGAAAGGATAAGGAAGAGATAAGTCAGTTTAGTTCCACATGTTTGAAGTAGCTACTGCACTTACCCACATGTGTGTTGTGGATGAAAATATGCTACTTAAGTATTTTGATTTTTTTACTAAAGGCAGAAAAAATAGTAGAATAAAAAGCCACTTCTGAGTTAAAGTCAAAAAAAGTACTTCCACAAACCAAAATTTGAATGCAAAAATCACTGTTCTTAATCCTATCTAAAAAAACCCTGAAATTCTCAGCTGTGATAAATCTGAGATTCACCCCTTTTAGTGAAATATGAATGAGTTTGGAATGTGGATTTAGGTGATAAGCATGAAGAAATTCAGGCCATAAATATCCTTACATAATCTTCAAAAAGAATATCAGTTTATATAGGTGCCTGCCTTATGCTGTTGTCAAATTCAAATTATCAGTCCTTTTTCTGATATGTCTATATTTAAAAGTGAATTTTAACTTAAAACTTAATAGAGTTTTACATTTATACCTGATCTGTTATGCACAATTTGTTTTGATTTCTAAAAGAAAAAAAATCATGTCCTATCTGTGTTGTCAGTGATTTCCTTTATCTCCCACTCTAACCATTTTTACCAGTGCCATTGTGTGTAAAAACAGAAATCCAAACAATAAAACCAACCCATCCCACAAAATGAAACAAACAACAAAACCCTCAAGTTACCCTAGATTGAGTCTATCTCTTTATTAGCCTCGTGGTGGCTATTACAGCATTTCATTGTCCTTGCAGACATTTCCCTTGAATTTTTTTCTAATTTTTTCCTTCAGTTATTTTGCTTGTGGCCTAAATATTGCATTGAATTATTTTCATCTCATTTAATTGTAAAACTCATGCTACTGTGCTGCACTGTTAAGGTCTTATTTTTTACTGATGAAGTTGTCCTTGATTTTGCTATGTATTTAATGTGTCGGGATTTTAGCTGTTTATACTTTTGACTTTCTAACATACCCAATAATTAGTGGATTACTGGTCACAGATTTTGTGTGTAGTAAAAAGCATGCAAGCATTTATATAACAAGGCATTCTGCATGTGCAATCTGCATATTGAGAAGACTTTCTTATTTTGAAGGCTTTGGATGCCATTTCAGTTTCTGTTGAACTACCCAGATCAGTGTGCTGATTTCCCCTTATGGATGGTGTATGAGCTTAAGTCCATTACTGGGCCTGGGACTTAAGAATATTTTCAAGTCAGATGGACTTGTTTAATGAGAATAGGAATGTTGGGCTTTAGGGAGAAAGCTGGGAATTCTAGTGAAATTATTTAAATATAATGGTTATCATGAAAATGAAATAATTGCTTTAAAGTCTTAATCCAGTAGGCAACATATTGCACATACTTAAGTATGAATGTATGTGTGTAAGAAAAAAAAAAAAGAATGACTGTAGCTATTAAGTATCTCACAAATAACTGGAGTCTTTGGAACCACTGAATCATGTGGCTTGTTGCCTTCTGTGGGCTTTGTTTTGTTTTTATGTACAGGATGCTCTAATCTAATTTTTGGCACATCATTTGACTGCTTTTCCTTTGGTAGAAATATACCATTTGGTGGTTTGACTATATAAAACTAGATCTTAAAGAAATGGAATTATATCCATGAAAATACTTACAGAATCTTGCCATTGCCATTGAAATTTTCAGAAATATATCTTTGATTTGCCTTTATTAGATAAATTATTTAGGAACCAATGCCCGGAAGATTTGGATTCCACCTTGCTTGCAGCTAACACTTTGTTCCTCACTTTCTTGTCATTCATTTTGTATGGCCAACTCAAAAGTTCTTTCTGACTCCGTCATCCTGTACAAAGTCAAAATAAGAGCTTCATGTTGAATTTATGAAAAGCATAAGCGAATCACATTCACAAAGATATCTTCTACCTATGAAGAAAGAAAAAGAAATCAGAGCAAAACTTTTCACCATTTTGATGTATTAGTTTAATTTATTAGTTTCTGTGCTGCCTTTGAAACAAGATTAGAGAAAAACATCTTCCCCAGATAGGAAAAAAACCCCAACAAACAAACCACCAAACAAAACAAAACTGCACAAAGTATCAACACTTCTCGGGGAAACCTCTGTATCCCAGTGTTTTGGAGCAGAAGTTTGAAATTTGACAGGAGAAATAAACTTGGTATCTCAGAGACCTGTCTTTGCCATCTTTTTACAAACCTATTCCACTTCAGTCAAGTAGAAAGAGTTTGAAAAGTTGCAGTTGACACGTTTTGGTAGACACTTTCAAGATCTTAGCAGCTTATTTCCAGACAGGTTGCATTTAACTGAGCTCACTCCAGTGTAGGTGGGATGACCAGGAATTTTTCTATAGTTACAGTTCTGAGAAGGGTCATGTCTTGCTAAGGTAGATGTGAGAACTGAAGTGATTAAACTGTTTTCTTGCATGCTTTTTTCCTTTTTTTTTTTTCCTTCCCCCCTTTTCCAGCAGCATAAGAATCTGAAACTGGCGAGGTGAGAGGAAAGAGAATAGGACAGGGTCTAAGGTTGGAAAGAGATAGGATTGCAGATGGACTAGAAGCAGTCATGCTCCTGGGAAATGCACAGAAATCTGTCTGCTAAGATTCATTCCTCTCTATAGTTTGGAATGCAATGCAAGATTTGTGAGTCACCATTCCTATCCTGGCAGCAAATATCTGTGAAATCTCTGGCTGTCTTGCTTACCCCCTCTTCATCATTGCTAGTACCGATCCATACTGCAGCATGGAGGTTGTATTTCTCTTTATATACTGAACAGCAGAATTTAGTATTTACAGATTCCTACTCTGCTGATGAGAGCCATGTAGTGTCAATTTGACATAACACAATTGCATTTTTTTTTTAAAGTGTAGGATGCATAAATGACCCAGTCTTCCCTATCAACCTTTGAATAATTGATGTGGCAAAGTTAATAACTCATAAATGAGGTTATACCACTGCCATCATGCTAATGATGCTGGCAGTGCAATGGAGAATTTTATCATAGCTGTCTTTGTCAGAGTCCTAGAGTTGCAAAAATTTAAGTCAGGCTGTTGAAAATACCCACTCATTTTGTATTCTGCTTCATTTTGACACAAATATGTTTTAAATTTAGACAAAAAATTAAGGTTTTCTGTGTAAGTCATTTGAAATTGGAGGATCACTTCCAGTAACTAAAAGCGATTAAAATACTTTAAAATGTTACCATTTGGCTATATATTAGTATATATTAATACACTACAGGAGTATTAAGGGTGTAAGACATTATTTGTATTCACTGCTTAAGGTTGTAAGTGTTCTTAAATTAGTTCAAAGAGAATCATGGCATACAAGGCCAGAAGGGATCACTGCAGTCTAGTCTGACTTCCTTCATGAAGCAAACTGCACGGCTTCCTTGTACTACTTTCTATTTGTGCTAAAGCAAAATTTAAAAAGCTTACCATGGCATACCTGGTAAATATGAATATAAGTAAATAGGAGTCTTATGGCAAAAAAAAGTTTGAGTTACAAAGAGGTGAAAGGGTTTACCTAGTCCTCACACACACTTGAAAACCATGGTTTCTCAGAGTTTGAACTTGAGGGTTTAGTTTCTGGTCCAGTTGTCTAACCTCTAGCATGTTTCCTTATATAATTCATTTATTTATTACTTTCTCTTGTAGGAAGGGGATCATCTAATTCAAGATTGCCATCTGTCCCTACAGTTTCTTCAGTGCCTGAGGATTCTGCTTCAAATATGAGGTAACTTCTTCAGTTGAACATCTGAACAGCTGTGCTGCGGCTCACAGCTTTGATATTACAGTTGGTATTCTGATTCCAAATCACTTAAGAATGTAGTTTTGCTGATGTTCAATACCTAATGAAGGTTTGGCAAAATATGTGTCAGATTATTGATTCCTTCTTATATATCTATATCACTTAAACATTGCCAAAAACTATACTTCTTTCTACAAGATTTCAGCAACTTCCTTCTTTTTTTGTTAATTACATGTATCTCTCTACTAGTATTACAGACAGGCTTGAACATGCTTTGGAAAAAGCTGCCCCACTTCTGAGAGAGATTTTTGTGGATTTTGCTCCCTTTCTTTCTCGGACTCTTTTGGGCAGCCATGGGCAGGAATTGCTGATAGAAGGTACAAGTAAGTTTCCATTTAAAAAAAAGGGTTATTTTAATGTGTGCTTTGTTTTACCTTGGAGACTCAAAATTTCTATATTTTTTTCTGCTGGCTCTGCCTTAGAAGCTTTCTTCCTGCCTTCCCACACAGTGCTGTCCACTGGATTTCACTGCCTCCTGTTCCTTCTGTCTTTAGTCCTCTGAGGTCATTGTCATTGCCTCCTCATCTTTGCCATCTCTGCTACCTCTTTGCCTCCATCTCATCTCATAGTTACCTATATCTTGTTATGTGGGGCCAACTGCTGTTGTCTCTTCGTTAGTTTTCCAACTCTTACAGGGAATTGTCCCATAGAAGCTGGTGTATGAAATGTGTTTTGTGAGCCTTAAAAAGAAAACTTGGTGTCAGGGTCAACACTTCAATACAAAGTAAAGTATAGCGTATACTATAGAAAGTTAAGTACAAAGACCTTGCATTTTTACTGTGATATTGTAACAGAAGGCTTCTTGGGAACTATATGCAGAGCATGTTATGGTGTATCTCTCTTGCATGTGAATCTGCTTCTGTCTTTTGGTTTCTAATTGGAAGGCAGTCATACAGGTAAAAGGAATACATTGTTAGTATTGAGAAGAATTCTCTGCTGCTTCTGAGAAGATGAAGATTCAGGTGCACAACAACAATCATGGCTCTTCCTGCTGTTGGCTTAAAATGGTTGAGCTTGAGATGATTGAGTTTTCTTTCTACTGGTGGGTTTCTCTCTGCTTAAAAATGAGGCTCAGTTCTGTAACGCTGACATTAATGTCCTCAATTTAAAAAAATCATGTCTATTGGAACACTGTGAATTTAGTAGTGAGCACCAGTTTTTCAATTTTCTCATAATTTGATTAGATCATATAAATGGCTTTGTCCACTGATTTTTAGAATGAAAATTGCAGGTTTTGTCCAGTTAAAGCAGTAAATTGAATTAGGGCCTGAGCTTGTTGCAGCTTCTAGTAATGAGCACTCCTATGTTAGAAGCTCATGGTTGCTTAACTTGAGCTGATCGCTTGGACTTGAGCTGTATTTGCACTAATAGATCTAATTGCTTCCTGGGGAATTAAAGTTCTTTTTTTAAAACATTTTTGAAACTACTTGTTTTGTGGATTAGGACAGGCATCCTGTATGTAGTGCTGAATATGATTAACATTGTCAGAAACACAAATAGAGTATCAAACAGTGACAAGTGTTTTACTGAAGACTGCTGATATCAAAACTGAGACTTCATTAAACTTCACTGACATTAAAGTTATTTAGTTTAGGAATTTAGCTTGCCTACCTTTTGGGGTAGGAAGAAGTGGCAGGAAGAAGTGTATGAATTGTCTTCTGTAACACTGAAAAAGATGGGATTCTACTTTTGATTATATGTGTGGGCATTGCTTTAGCTGATAAACATTTTCAGTAGAAGCTGCCTTGTGAACAAACTTATTTCATTCATTTAGTCAGAATAACAGGAAAGATATTTTTCTCAAAGCTTTATTTGCCAGGGAAGTAAATATCCTATTTAGTTACATTTTTTTTTTTCTTGTCTGAAGATAAAGAAAAGATAATCTGATTTCAAAGTATTTTGACTGCAGTATACATTATATACACAGATATGAGTATTTCATAGATTGGATGACCAAAAAAAGCAGGAAAATTATTGGGAATGTATGAACTGTCTAGACAAAAATAAACACATTAAACCAATTTTGGGGCCTAAAAACTAGTTATAGACAAACCCAAACCAAAATGCGAATACAAATAATAATAATAGTCAAATTAGTTTATAAACAATTGAGAATATATAATAGGTTACTGCTTGCACTTCTGCTAGGGTTTAGTGTGGGGTTAAGGGTCAAAGTACTAATAAGAGTGTTTGGGATGTCTGCTGCCATGAAACAAAATGGAAACTTGATTGATAGCTGGGGGCTGAAAGGAGAACGCGCAATGGAGAAAGCAAAGGTCATAAAGCCATTTCCCTTCTCTGCATATATAATGACCCAATCCTTCAAGAAATAGCAAAATGTAGATACAGTGGATTAATATAACATATGTTAACCGCACTTCTGATTGTTTTGACATACAAACATTTATGAAACTGTGAATAATGGGAGTAATGTATTACTATTAGCTGCATCTTTGGATGCGAGGCATGGAATTTATGATCTCCCTCTCACAAACATACTTTTATTTTGTGCTGATAAAGTACAAAATTGAACTGGAATTAGTATGAGAATTTCAGCTTTCTTTTGATTGTCAAAATGCTTCTAATCTGTTGCACTTCAAAATAGTTTGTGTTAACAGCTGATGCCATATAAGTATGCATTTATGTATACCTTTTTTTCCTTTTGTAGGTCTTGTGTGCATGAAATCTAGCAGTTCAGTTGTGGAGCTGGTGATGCTTCTTTGCTCTCAGGTGAGGTTTAAGTAACAATGTTGTCTGAAATTTCTGTCTTTGAGCACAAAGGAGATTACAGCTAAATTTTACTTTAAATTTAAGGTTATGTGTAATAGGTAAAAAGATTATGTGCAAGGCATTTTGATTAAAAAAAAAAATCATAGTATTTGTGTCTATTCAGTTGGACAGAGAAGATACTAAGGGTTTTATGTTACCTTACTATTGAGCATTTACATAACCTTGATGCTGGTGTGCCTAAGTAATTCTATGCTGTCATTTTTGTAAGTTAAAATAGGATCAATAAAATATTAAAGGTTATAGAAACAGATTGATTTCTGCATCTTGGCATGCTGAATCCTCAGGGATGAATAGAATTTTTCCTTTTGTGTAGAGGTTATGAAATGAGTGATAAATACTTTTAAAACCCTGTCATTCTTAATTGATTTGACAAGTACTAAGAATTTGAAAAAAAATTAAGAAAGCAACCCTGGTTGTCAGCAGTTTGGGGCGTTCTACATTTCTAAAGGCAAAGTTTTAGATATTTAAGAACCTGAGAACTGCCTGTTCCTGTGGTTAGAAAAGACTCAGAGCCTAAGGAACTTTTTGAATATTGTATATGCTGTATTAATTGGATTTTCTTTTGGGGTTTCTTGCTTTCTTTTTTGCAATTAAATGGAAGACTGTTTTTATTGAGCCTTTCTTTTGGTGCCTTAAAAATGATACCTTTCTGGTAGTAAATTCCCCTACTTAAAACTTTAAAATAGCCTTTTTTAATGGGAATGGTATTGGTCTAGAGGTCAAGGGTTCTGACCCATTTCAAAACCTTTGACCTTCATTTACAACCCTTATGGTTTGCTTGCCTGACGAATAAGGATAATGCAAAATTAATGTTTCTTCACATCGATTTATTCGTTTTAGTGCCTATATTGCCAAATTTATTTAGAGTGTGCTGATAGACATTTCATGAATACAAATGAAAGAATCATAGAAGGTGTGAAAGATCGATAGTCTGCATTGTCAATAAAGTGCAATAAGAACAATTACTTCTGGAGATTACACCTAATAGATTTTACAATGAACTAGTGAAGAGTAGTTATGTTTTCTAGTGAGCTTATTATTAATGAATGTATCTAGAACTTTGCTCATCTAGTTTTCCGTCTTCCTCAGGAAATATAATATATTTTTACCCTGAAAGAAATGTAATATTCCTTATGGAACTTTTGGAATTCAGAGATGGTTATTTTGCATATGGCAATACTGGAAGTGGACATTGTTCATGACTTCTAGAATAAGAATTTGCTGCTGATTTAAATTAGAAAAGAATCCTTGCTACCAAGAAATCCATATACAATTTTTACTGTTCATTTGTTAATGTGTTAGAATAGAACTAATCTGAGTATTAAATATGTGCCTGACAGCTTAGTATTACCATTTTAAAAATTAGTGTTTGGTATCCATGCTGCTTGTATCAATAATTAGTGGTTGACCTTTTCTTCTTTTTTGGTAGGGTAATCTAATCCTTTTTAAAATCATGTTGTGCTCTGTACTGTATGTCACTTGTTTGGTTTTGGGAAGTGGAAAGGATAAGGAATAAATGACGTGCTCTAATGCATCTATTTGTCATATGTGTCACAATGCCACTTAATGCTAATCTAATCAAATTGAGGATATCGTGATTGCTTAGCAGTGCTAGTTGCAGAGACTGAGGCTGTTCTTTGTGAAATAGTAGAAATAAACCAATAAAGTCACAAAGACCTCAAAGTCTTTTTAAAGTTACGTGGCAGCTGTAATTTTTGGCAGAATATGAAAAATGATGTGAGAAATGAATCTAAAATTAGCTCCAGATGTATACAGATTGTTCTGGGGTGATAATTACATTTTTCACTTTGAATTTTCCTAATTCAAAGAGGTCAGCATGGCAATCACAGAAGTGATTTATTTTGTTAAGAAGTGAACTGTCTTTTGCTACATGAAAGCTTGAGAGATATGAAATTGAATTTCAAGCCGACATTTTACAGATACTGGGAGGAGATGGGGTTGAGCTTGATTGATTTTTTTTTTTCTTTTTTTTTTTTCTTTTTTTTTTTCCTTTTTTTTTTTCTTTGGCCCAAGATAGGGTGGGAAGTGAAGTGATATCCTTTTGCTAAAATTTTAATTAATTTTTAAGAGGAGATGGAGAGGATGAAGTGCCAAAGATCAAAAGATCAGGTCAAAAACTAGTTTTTAATCACATAAATAATGTGGCATAGTTACAAAGTAAGTATCTGCAAATTTGATTTAAAACTTCACAAATTTGTCAGCCATCATTTTATGAAATTGAAAGATTGCTCTGATTAATATCTTTGGCGTTTTTTATGCCAACCTCTTTCTGAAAATTTGTTTTAGACATTGTATATGTGATATATGCACTTATTTTTCTGAAATATCTGAAATTTTTCCAATGTTTATTTAGACTTGTGGCTGGAATATGTTTTTGCTTTCTCAGAAGTGCAGAATGGAATAATAATATCTCACAAGTAATTTTTTCATAAAATTGTGATAATAAAGGTCTTTCCCAGTGATTTTAAAAAAAGTCATTAAAAAAATGAAAAGATACTATTCTGTGAGACTATTTATGACACCCAGTTAATTTCTTCTCTTGTTTAAAGTTCATATATTTAGGCATATGGAAAAAGACCATTGCTTTTGTGTTTTAGTTTTGTGTTTATATGTTGATATATTGTTTCATGTTTAACACAAAGTAACAAGAGAAACAGGTGGTTTGAGATACAGACAAAAGGCTTTTTCTAAGACAAACACAATTGTGTTTTTTGATAGACATGCTACATTTTGAGACGTGTCTCTGTATACTTACATTTATATAAATCTATCAAAACATAAAGAAAACCTTCATTTAATATTACTGTGAAGTGTTCCTGCTTATTTGACATTAATATCATTTTTGAAAGAATCGACGTTGCATTCAAGGCCACTTTATAAAAGCGTTGTGTTGCTCATCCTAATTCAGTCTGACACACATTCCAATAACACTACCTCCCTTCTAGGGTTTAAAACTAAATTTATGGCTGAGCATTGTGAAGTGCATCATTTAAAAATGGTTTCAACCCAAAACATCTAATAAATAAATAATGTGTATGGCTACTCAGTAGCAGACTTTCCAGACTAGAAATCATTCCATCGGATACTCAACAGTCCACTATCGGAGAGGGCTGTCAGATAAATCTTATAGTAGCTGCATTCATGTCCTGTAAATCACATGTTATTGTCTGAGCCTTCTGCCAGGTCATCTATTCTTTTCCCATTTATCAGAAATGCATACAGTACAGTGAACCTAGAAGCACCATCTAGTCTGGCCTGGCATCCTGTCAGGGTAATTAAACCAGCCAAAAAAGAGAAGTCCTGTGTCTGTTATCCCTTTTAAATGAGTGACGTCAGGATGTTGAAGGTGCTTGTATGCTATTCTGAGGCAAGGCTCCTGCATGGGGAAACTGGGATATCACCCCTGAATAAAGAATATTCGTCTAAAAGGACTCTCACTCTATGCCTAAAATGCAAAGAAGCATGTATGAATTGAGTGCATGTTTATCCACAAAGCAAATATGCTACTGTGCTTTCTTCCATTTGTCAGATGTTTTCTTGAAATATGTGACTAAGTAAGAAAAACTGTGATCTTCCCTACTCTCAAGATATCAAAAACACTTACCCGTTGCTCACATACATTTGTCCTATTATTTTAGCTCCAAGGTGAAAAGGTACAAAAATAGGTGAAATAGGCTCCATAATTTTTCTTGATGCCTTTGAATTTACAGAATTTGCAGCACTTGAAAAATGCTTCTTTCTGTAGTAAATCAACTGAATTGTCACTGGAATATGTGAAGAGAACTAATTAGGTGGTTCTTGTCAGATCCATCGTTGACTTAAGAGCTTTTTTTCTACTGAATCTAAATTTTCTAGACCATAAAATAAACTTACATTAACTGACTCAAATACTGTTCAGCTCTTCTTGTATAATTTTCTAAAATTGGTGGAATGCCACCCAACCTTTTTAAAAGTTTGCAATGAAACCTTAATCAATACTGCAGCAACTTCTATGACTCCTCCACCACCACTACCCACACATACACCCTGCTTGCTGGTTCAAGGTATAAAAGCTTCTTGGTCCTCCTTCCTCTGCTCCCTGTTGTTTCAAAGGGGTTAAGGGCACATTCTTGATAGCTGATGGCGTATATAAAACCAAGACCAATGTTTTAATACATTTAATCTCTAGGTATTTTATCTTCTAGAAATATTAATATGATATATTGCAATATAACTACATAGCTGTAGCTATTAGATTTATATTGGACCTTGATAAAGTATATCTTTCATGGAGAGATGGAAGAGGGAAGCATAAACTCTGATACTCCAGATTTTTTTAGTGTGCAGTGATAGCATCTGCTCATAGGCCCAATGAAATATTATTACAGTTGAATATGTGATGCGCTGTACTGTTAGTTTTTGGAGTTACATTTTGGAGAGAAAACATGATTCAAGGCACTGCATGTGCATCTTAAATATACAGCAGAGGCTGATTAGTAATATTAAAGCAGAAAAGATTACACTGTGAAAGGTGATCTTACTGCCTGTGTAGGCAAACTTATAGGTCTTCAGCTCTTTTTTTTTTTTTTTTATTTGTCTAACTCAACTCACCAAACCAATTATCACTGGTTATATGCTGAAATGTTTGCAAAAGGTTTTTCTTTAGCATGATCTTTCTTTCATATGCTACTAAATCACTTTGCTAACAGATTCTGTTGCTTGTAAAGAAGTCAATATTCATCTTTTGCATGGGCAGTATCTTAGTTGCATCATACCTCTTAACTGATAAGGAATCTTAATTATTTAAACAATATCAACATGTGCCATGCAGTTGTGCACCCATACAAACAATGTGATAGTGCATTTCCCCTAAGGAAGAGTAATAGGATAGTAGTGAAGATTTTGATTTTTCAGCAGATTTTTTGTACACAGACACCCCC